AAATGTCACTTTTTTTACACACTGGTCTTGTCACTGTTTCCCAATATGGTTCTGCCTGTGCATACAAAATGTGGAAATAAAAGATTCCACCTTCAGACCGTCTAAATGAATACAGTTCATAAGCTATGTTCATTTTTACAAGATGGCATTATTTTAACCTCCTCACATCAAAAAACCAAAATGCTATGTTAAGTTTACAAGGTAGCCTATATACAAGATGTTTCTACTATTGTCCAAAGCATTGTATACCTAAAACATATTGACAGGTGAACAACCATTGTAAAGAACACTGTTACAAAGCACAGACATTTTGTTTAATTATGAAACCCTGATTTACTCAGTATCTCAGAGTTCCTTTTCAGTACTGCCATCATACCCACACACACACAATTTCAAAGATGGCAAAAATTGCAGGTAGGATTTGAAGGACTGAATAAATTACTGCTACTCTGGAGTTAATGGAGCTCCTCACCCACTAGCTTTGGACAGAGATGTTCCAAGTCATTAGCATGTTTTTGGCAGGATCCCCTAGGTAGAACTGTGCTTCCAAAGAATCAGAGCCAGAATTTGTAGCTGCAGGACTTTCAGCCTTCCACATGAATGACCAGAGCTCTGAGAGCTAGCAGACTGGTCACTGCTTGTAACACTGGACACTTGAGTCAAAAGAAAGGGTTGCATTAAGTGCTGTGAATTGATTACATATTATTCATTCTTACACAAGCCTTACTTAGTAAAAGCTCTAACACTATCTGGCACTGATGTAGGCATTCTGTGATGGCCCTACATCTGAGTCTTATGTACCAATTCAAAGGGCTATTCAGTTCCTTTTTACAGTGAATCCCTTTGCCAACAAGCCATGTCTTGACAACATTATGTACTTTTCAGCAGCTGCAGTTTGGGGATTGCTGTGAAATCATAAAATCAAAGTGCAAAGACATTGCAGCACAGAGGTCACACAGATAATGGGTACACAAAGGGCAGCAAGTCATAGAGTTATGTTTAGGAATATGCTTTTTAAATTCATAAATAAGGAGTCTACATTTTAAAAATTTTGAGTTATTTTACTGCTACAATTTTAAGAATGGTAGTATTTTACAAGGAAATATACAGCAACAAACACATAATGCAAACAACCTAGGCTGTTTCATGTATTTGCAAAAAAATTATGTTTTAATTGGCTTCTCAGGCAGATATCGTAGAGTCTGCAAATCCCATCCACTTAATCTTATATTGATTGTCTAAGATGTTTCCTGTTACTATGACTACCCTAATCAATTAACTTCTTGTAAGTAGCAAGACAACATTCTCTCTTTTTTTTTTTTTACTAAAGTCTGAAAACTTTATGGTGCTGCCTCTTATACATTATAGAACTATATTATGTTGCTAACAATGTCTAATGCATTTCATTTTTTAAGAAACACTTGAAGATTCTTCACAAAGAAAACACAGAATTACTTTGGACCAATATCATAATGTTTCATTAAGTTGTGATTGTGTGGATAAAAATTCTCTTTGGCCTCCATCCAGGGTACTAGAAACTTGTCAATTTCTCAAGGAGATCACTTAGTGAACAAATCTATCACTTGGTTTTACAAAAACTGTAATATCACAGCCCCACCATTTTCCACTCCACTAAAATTATACTATCCCAATAGGCAAATTTCTCATCTTTAAAATTGTGAGAATTTCAGCATGAAAGAGGAAATTACATCTAAACTGTGTTGACCCAGTTTTTCTTAGGCACAGCTCTGGAAACATACTGATCTTTGAATTCAGACCACCATGACTCCAGCTTGATGTCAGTTGAGAAAAGTTTGAATAAGTGCATCAAACTCGCTGACATTCCATTTCCTGTCGTAGCAAACGGAATCTATAAACTTGATTCTAGTTTGGGGGTTTTCTAGATCTCATCACTCTCTCCACGCACCTGAGTTCATTCTCCTAGATGAGAGATATTTCTAAAGCAGAAGAGCCACCTGTCACTTTCCTACCCCAAGTGCACTATGTCTAAAGAGCCCAGGGAAGTCACAGGCATGTCCATGTCAATTATTTTAAACATTCACATCACCAGATAAGTGCAATGCATCATTTCTAAAATAATACTTTAAAACTGATGTAAAGGAACACAGTAAGTTTCAAACAATTCAAGTGGTGTGACCAAGTATTTGAAACAAAGCAACGTTGCCATCCAAACCCATGTCTACCTGTCTGCAAAGTTTGATTTCAACCCTTTCCCATTATGTCTCCAGTCACTATTCCATGATCATGTGTGGATCTTATGGTTATATTCTGTGTGCTTTTATCCAAGGTGCTCTCTTTAGCCATGTTACTCAAATACTTCTTTGTTTGAGGAAAAGGGAAGTGGATGTGTGTGCATGGACAAAACATAATGTCACCTTAGGAAGGAGAGAAATAGAACCTCTTCAACACATAATTATAGCCCAATAATAATATAAATCATTAAAGGTTTTTTTTCTCTCTCTAAAACAGACCTACTCATAGCCATTTTTTATTTTTGCTTCCACTTTCTAGAATATTTTTGTTTACCTAATAAAAGTAACACATTTTAACAGAATCATGGCATTACACAAATTATCTTGTATCTGTGTTACTAAAAATATTCTCCCCTCATAATTTCCCTGACTGAGCTCACTAAAAAGGGCTTATTACCATGGTAGTATTGGTGGCGTGGCAATGGTTGTAGGTGTTTTTAGTAACCCAAATTCTGCGTGTATCTTTTCTTCATACATTTCATAGTTTTACGTTCACCTCAAAAAATGTTTATTCATGCTCTTCATGAAACATACCAATATTTCTCACATAGTAAACGCAAAGTACAACAGAGGCTTGACTTACTAGAAAAGTCAGAAAAGGTTATTTTCATGTAAGACTAAATATGAAATTCAGCACACCATAATAGAACAACTTAGCACCTCTTAAATATTTGCAACTGTCATTGGTTCTATATATGTAGATGTAGACACAGATAGATATACTAATAGAAACATAGATCTAAAGCATTTAAAACACCAACACGAGCTGGAGAAAATGTGAGTTCAAAAGTAAGTAACGCTTCAAAATGTATTAACTAGTAAACAATAAGAGTTTCCTTCTTTTAAGTGGCTTTCCAGTTGGCAACAAGAAGGAATTAGTAGTTTACTCAGTGTTGGGTTTGAGAGAAAGGAAGGGGCTGAGAAATACGTGAGGAATAAAGACAAGGCACTTTCTGTGTGTAGTCATGCAGGTTCCAGCTGTCTGGGGGCATCCCCACCTCTAAACACAAGCACAGAGGCGTATTCTCTCATGCTTGTTGTGCTGGCACATATACTTAAGAACTTCTGATGGTCATCTTGGCTAATGTCTGAGTTGTCTGTTTCTACTCCTGTGCTGACTTTTCACATTACTGCTCAAAGTCTTCATAGTGTATGTGAGCTGGCAAATAACAAAACATTGAGCCTACCCTTGAGGTAAATTTTAAATTTCTTAGGAATAAAGTGCATTCCTCCAGCCCTTCATGCCACTGGAAGCTTAACCTATGCCTAGCACAAAGAGAAAGATGCAGGTTAAACAGTGACACAAATTCTAAAAGGACAGGTCACCATTGTATGGTAACATGAATGGTGGTAACATATTTTATTTACAAAGGGCAGAACTCTTTATACACTGTTGGCAACGGGACAGAATTGGAAAGGGTTTTATACCTCATATACATATTTCCAAATGTGTCATCCAATGCTCTCTCCTAACCCTTAGTAACTGTCTCTGTGGAGTTAGGGGGGAAAAAGGTGTTGTTCAAAATAAGACAAGGACAAGGCTGACTCACCAAGAGAAGAAAACCTGTGATGGGAAAGGCTGATAAGAGAAAAAGGATCATAGTGACTTATCGCTCCAAATGAAAAATTCAAACTATGAAATCAATTTAGTTAAATGCTCTGCTGTTCAGAAAGTGACCAATTTTTAGGAGGTTAGCCGCCATCAATTTAGGTAATGCTAACTAATGTCACTCAAGAATTAAATTGCAAATATTTTTTAAAACTTAATATTTAATCCTTAATTACTGCACACAAAATAAAAAAATGTGTCACTAAATAATAACTGATTGTACATTATATAAATCCCAACCAGTTAAATTCTATATGTCTATGGAATTTTATACACAGAGAGAGATACACACACACTTCAATTTGTAGTGATTCCTTATCTTAGAAACCAAAAAATCCTAATGATTAATTTCCCACCAGTTTTTTAGATAACATGAAGAAATTGCTGGCCAGATTCCAAATTCACCAGGTTAAATGGAATAATGAAGCATTTTTTAGGCAATTAAGCAAAATACACAGGAAGGGAAAAGAAAACAAACCAAAAGGTACCTAAATATCTAATAATAAAAATCCAAAAGGCCTTATTTGTTCTGATTATCCAGATAAAAATTTCAGGTAATCCAAAAGGCCTTACTTGTTCTGATTATCCAGATAAAAATTTCAGGTAATCACCCACATGTGTGTGTATATATATGTAGTTAGATATGCATATCACAAACTCCCACTCTCTCCTTTAGCTTTCTTTCATAATCCTT